AGTTTGAAACCTATTAATTTCCATCGAAGTTTACATATGCACAAAGCATCGACAAACTGAAAATCGAGAGAGGAGCTTCTATGACTGCTCATGTGCATGAGCACTAACAACATTTTATATATGTGGACATACGCCAGTCGATTATGGTAAATTGTGTGTGTGTAAAACTTTATAATTGATGTTTGTATATATTCCAATTGGGTATGCTAAGTTCTATGTGAGTTTCACGGTTTATGTTTTATATGGATGTGCATACGCCAATCGAGTATGCCAGGCCGTGTGCAAATTAATTGATATATGCTTTACAGCTCGTGTGCAAAACGATTAGTCTGAGCTTCATATGTGTCGACACATACCTATTCAGTACTACTGCTCTTATAGGCTTGTTTATTGCTCTTATAGGCTCGTTTATTTTCATGCTATTTACACAAATTTAAGTAGACGACTTTTTGATATGCGAGGTTGTGTAAGGAGAATAGTTTTAAACTATATATTTGTAGCTGAAAGCGTATGTAATTATAACTTGATATTACCTATGTATACAAAAGCTTTTGGTAGGTGACAGGTCGTGTACGAATCCAGCTCTTTGAGTTTGTGTGTGAGCGTGGACACAATATTATGTTCTCATATGATCATCATTTCACTTTCCTCGATTTTTTTTTACGCTGCTGCCAAATTGTGTTAAATATTTAGTCAGTATATAAGTGTATATTTGTTGACATACTATCACGATTTGAGCCTCATGTTCGTTAAAAGACAGCACAGAAGTGGCCCATCAACAGATCAAGAACTCCTCAGCTGGATCAGAAAACCAATTTATTCAATACAGGACTCTGTCGCGCATCGATCAGTTCATTCCCTTTGGAAAAGAGGCAAGCCGATAATACCTCTAGCACCCTCGGAGCTTACTGCGCAAAGTTCATGCCGCTCATGTCTCGGGGAACTGATGCTATAGTCTCACTCGTGAGTTGTGCTTCTACTATTTGCTCTTCAATAGCAATCTACTGACGACTATTGATCTCCGCTTGCTCGTTTTACCTGGCTCCATTTGTTTCATTTTCTGCTTTTTGTGCCCCTGTCTGCAACTTCTAAGTCAGTTCGATCTCGAGCTGTCTCCTTCCGTTGTGGCGTCACAGCTGGACACATCTAGACCTGCTCGATTGCTGATTGTCTTCACATACAATCAGCCCATTTGGTGCAGAATCTCTCTCCCTCGATCGCTTCATGGGGCAAATCAACTGATAACTTGCTATCATCTAGTACCGCAAAGCTGAAAGCACATATGATAGACTAATTTGCAGAACTGTACTTGTCGTTGCTTACTGATGAACGAAATGCATATGTATTTTAGTTTCAGTACCCGCCACGCCTACTGTGACGGCTGGCTTACTCTTTTTGTGCGAAGCAGAATTCTCTCTGCCACCATCACCACTCACGCTGCTCATTATTTCGACTCGTTGTGTACAGTGCTCTATCGGCGGTGACAAAATAGGGGAGCGTCTTTTCAAATCAGTCACCCTCACCATAGTTCTATACCCCAAATTTGATTAATTCAGATATAAATTGCTGATCTAAGTATTGTATCTATACCAGTCGCCAGGGATAACATTCGTGACCTAGGGCTCGCACACATATGGTGCGTGTACTGGAATACTATAGTATATGTGTGCAAGCGTATACACAAGACTGTGATTTATCATATTTCGAGTTCACACTTTTCGGAGCATCTGGCCGCCAGAAATTTGATGAGTGAGGCTCTCCTATTTTGAATCTCTTGGTTTTTGTGAATTCAATATACATGGTTAATATTCATTTTTAATTTCTTTCCTTCTCAATTCCAAGTATCGAAGTGTTCAATACGACAAGGCATCTCATATTTTAAAACATATATAGTATCGATACGACTGATCGCCCCCTTGGAGTATGCCTCTTTGCATAATTACAATCACCCGCTAACAATTATCAACCCTTTTTTATCAATATCGCCTCCATGAAATAGAATTGAATGTTACCAACCGAGCATGTCTATGATTATGATCGTGTAAGTTTTTACATTATAGACATCATCGAAATTTGAAAAATTCGGTTACAGAAAAAAAAGATTGCTCTACTAAATACCGCACACACACTCTCGTCAATCGTGTTTACAATTTTAATACGAAACAAATGTGCCAAGTCGAAACTCAACTTGTGTGACGGCCAAATATCATATGTACAGCCTTTCTCAGTTTTCACAGCGAATGTATTGATTTCAAGGCATTGTAAGTGTTCCCGAATTTATTCGATGTCGCGGTAAGTAGTGCAAACCTGAAGATCACATTTGACGGTGTGATGATTCAACAATATTCCGGATTGATTTTAAAAATATTTATGTTCGAGCTATTTCTTTATTGCAAAATTAACAACTTGCCGAATCATAGTTTCTGATAACTTTATATCTAATGTATAAAAAGACAAATATTATCGGTTTATCATTTCTTCTGTACTTGATTGTGTATTCGTGCATCATGCCAGATAGAAAATATTGTAGTTTCGGCTTGTATTTCTCCCCGGCCACATAAGCGTATGCATCATCGGAAGTGTCGCCTAGAACTTGTCATAAGCTAACAATAGCTTCAAGTATTTTTTTTTGCTGATTTCTACCTCATCACATTAATTGCTGATAAATTCAATATTCCTGCACCGCTCGCCAGTGTGTAGGCAGTCTATTATAGTTATTTTACGAGGTAAGATCGGCAAGCATCTGAACATGTTATTCCCCTTATATATTTTTCAAGTTACCTATAAGGTGATCGCAGTCCCAAGATAACATAGGTCGCTATGAATAACCGTAGTCTGATCTAGAATACGTCGTCAACTGTATTATGAGATATATTCTCGAATTAGTATTTATGAATACTCGGACGGCGAGAAGGCCGCAATACCCACCTTATTTTACTTCAGACATACGGTCGGCTTGCCGTGGTATTTCGCCATTTAAATACAGTTTTCCCTCCCTGAAAACTATGCATATATCTCGCAGCCAAATCGATAGACCATCGATAGCAAACAAGTTGGAAAATAAATTTTGAGCACTGACGACTTCGAGTGTTCGCGGTAAAAAAGCACGCAGATTTAATGGATTTGAACTTCTCGGACTTAAGTTCACAACGCTGAAAATTAGATACATACCTTCCAAGTCAAATCGGTATACTATCGAGAGCAAAGTGGAGATCGAGGTTTATAATCTGAAAGGAAAATTCAGGGCATCGACGACTTCGAGTGTTCGCGGTAAAATATCGGAACATCGTTTTACTTCTCGGAATTAAGTCTACCCTTGCTGGAAATTTAGTATATGCATCGTAAGTCAAATCGAGAGATTATTGATAGCAAAAGGCAGAGCAAAATGCAGTTCGACGTTTTTAAGTGGAAGGTAAATTCCTGGCTTTGACGACTTCAAGTATTCGCGGCAAAATATCGCGCAGACAGAACGTAGCTGTACTTAACCTCGCTAGTAAAATCGATAGAGTATAGCCAAACGCCGATCGACCTTCCCAATCTGGATTGTAACTTCCGGGTCATGACTACCTTAAGTATCCGCGTTAAAATATCGTGTAGATATCATAGAACATAGTTGTACTTCTCGGATTTAAGTTTATGTCTGTTGGAAACTGAGTATATACCTCGCAAGTCAAATCAATAGATTATCGATAGCAAAGTGCAGATTGACCTTTCCAAGCTGGAAAGTAAATTTTGGGCCTAGTCGATTTCAAGTATTCGCGGTAAATTAATCGCGTAAACAGAACTTAGTTGAACTTCATCGTGAAAGTCGATCGATTTTTCGAAACTTGAAGGTAACGTTCGAGCCTTGACGAATTTCCTGGCAAAATATCGTTCAGATCATCTCGCAAATCAATCGTCAATCGATCGATAGATTATCGATCGCAAAGTTTTCAAACTGGCAGGCAACGTGGGCCTTGACGACTTTCGAGTGAACGCGGTAAAATATCTAACAGACAAAACATAGTTGAACTTCACGTATTCAAGTTTATCCCTTCTGAAAACTAAGTATGTACCTCGTAAGTCAAATCGATAGGTCATCGATAGCATAGTGCCCATCGACCTTTTCAAGTTGGAAGGCAATATTAGAGCCTTGACGACTTCGAGTATTCGCGGTAAAATATCGCGCCGACTGAACTTGCCGGGATTGGTAGATTATCGGTAGTATAGTGCCGAAGGTAACATTCGGGGGTTGATGACTTTTGAGTATTCGTGGTAAAATATCTCGCAGACTGAACGTAGCTGAGCTTTCCCGATTTAAGCTTACCCCCGCTGAAAATAAATAATTTATAAAAGATCGGTTGAATAAATCACCATGTAGTGTGAAAAACGAGGAATTTGCCCGCGGTTCAGGCAGTGAGCATGTTCGCTTGCCAGTAAAAATTCTTGGAGCTTGGCGGAGGTAGAAAATCTTCAGGGTAAAATGAGGGTAGGATGAGGAACGGCGTAACCTGTAGCGTGAGAAATTACAAAGCGGCAATTCGTGATAGGAAAGAAGATTCCGCTACTTATGAGCGGACAATGATATACTACACCAGCTGTAAACATCAGAAAAATGCACATCGAGCCCATGGAATTATCACGCCTTGCAAAATTCGAGTATTAGAGGATTGGTATATACGGATTTGGAAGTAGCCAGATCGCGGCAATGGGAGTGACATGTAATAATTTTGTATAATCCAACAACATTAGTGCAATCAACTGCTAAATATACAGTTGTGTTGCCAATACAAATTGGTCCTGTAAGAGGAGAGAAATCTCTCGTTTTTATATTTCAGTGTCTATCGCAGTATCCCCATATTGACAACACTGCTTTTATATCAAGAAACAAAATGTTTTTGGTATGTTTACAGCTTAGAGAAAACGTGTGCGATTGAAGATTATATAATTGGCCGGCAGATCTCAAATTTGAACATAGTAGCTACAATAGCAGCATTGTATTCGATGTCCCAAGTCTTAATCTACTCAATAAAATGCTGGGAAGAAGTCGAGAAAAGAGTTGGAACTCTTAAACACAAAGGCGTCGCAGATACTGCGCACTATTTGATTCGACATATATGACTACCTTCCAATCAAAAGCATTCCCGCAAGTGTTTGCGCATTATAGGCTAAGTGATCTTGATGACTACGGGGCATGCGTTAAAATGTAGCTTCTTTGTCATATCAGTATCTCACTTTATGCATGTGACCATTCTCGACCGATTCTAAGTGTAACATAACGTATTCTCGCACGTTCGTATCGAGAAACGATTATGATCGGACAAATCAATGTTTATTATCCAATGTAGATCCTGGGCACTCTACGCCGGCGAAACAGATTTCCAATTCATACAAGATGCATTACTACACAACGCAACTGATTTGTAGTATTTTGACGATTTTGAGCTAACTTGGCATATGTCCCTATCAGCGAAACCGATCGTAGTCCTAGCGCTTATAAATCATCGCTACTAGTAAAAAAATGGAATCGTCGAAACTGAAGTGTGCATTGAACAATCTACATCAACCGGAGCGCTCGCACTTCCGAGCTAAGCGAGATGTAAATATAGGCAAATAAGTGAAAGGTGACTGTGAAAATAGTATTTCCTGGAACCTGCGAGGAAGTGATGGTCGAAATTAGAATTATTCTCGTAAACCATTGAAACAAGTCCAGGTCTCTCCTAACCTGTGTTACTCACCCGCCTGGTTATGGTCCACAAAGTATTCTGTGGGGAACGGCAACACTAAACAACTTTGAGCAAAACGGTAAAAAGGTATGTAGATTGCCACGAGAAAGTCACAGTTGATGGATGAATGTAACAATAATCGAAACGTCAATTCCTTGAAGTGTTATCTCAAATACACTATAATAACAGAAGAGTAGACAGCATATCAATTTAAAAACGAATTGTGCAGTCTCTAAGAACAATCAGAGTATGCGAGTCACGATCGATTTTGAGCAGCGGCGCTTTATTGGCGATTACAAATCGGTCTATAAGCTTATGATGCCAATCAGCAGCACAATGGCAGTAAGTCGGAAAGGTGAAAATGTGGTTGGCCATTCGAAACGCACATATTGGCATGTATTCCACACTGACACTTAATATGAGGCCTTCACTCAATGCCGAACCGTACATGTCCGGAACTGATAGACTAGAACTGAAATATTAGCTCTCAAATATTCTGATAAATTTCTGGTTGCGACGGTGGATATCAAGTGGCGCCGTGTTCATATTTGTTGCATTGTGCAATTCTCAGGATACGTGCTGCTACCTGCAATGTAGGTATACACATTCAACTTAGCAGAAGCACGCTTCTATGTACTGATCAAACGGAGTGGCATGTTGAAGTGTCAAGCAAAGGTGAGCGGGCATCTCTCGCTCAACCAGAGATCCATCGAGTCTACAATGCCACCATTGTAAGTGGCTGGCCTCTGAAATCAATAACTTGTATGTAAGTAATAGTAAAGCTCTTGCGAGTGAACAGGTGCCTTAGAACCCATATTGAGGGCTTGCCATGCGGGGCCCATAATATTTGATTGCGAATACTATACGAACAGCAACAAGCCGGATTCCTCGCTCATAGTTCGCGTGGGTGTTGTCACACACTCAGTAACGTCAGTTACTGAACAATTTTTGAGACGGTTTGAATTCAATTGCGGACACTTTGAAATGATATACATCGGCATGGAAAGTGGCCATTGCAAACGGGATGCTTACGGAAGGATAGCGACTTAAGATAACCACAGCGCGCTAATATGATTCACCACTACATCCCCAATCCGGTATCTCTGCCGTCCCAGATTGATCTAAATCCGGACTAATGATATATTCTTAGCATCAATACGAGAAAATACAATGCGCGTCCTTTCAATTGCACATACGAGGCTATATGGCTAGTGAGCATTTGGGTGGTAGTCAGGACTGTCATCTCGCGATCTCGATCGTCTACGTGCAGGAGTGAGTTTACTTCGTCGTCTGCCGCTTTGTGTTGGGCTATACGAGTCTCCGGAGTCCTCTTCAGAACCTGCGCAAATGAAAGCGACATTAAGAAATATTCGCTTGCTTTAGGATGGCATAAATTTCACACTGAGTTGTCGTAATTGACCTTGACGCGTATATGTAATCGTTTATCAATAAACACATAAATATGCGGGTGCACATGAAACACAGACACATACACATAAAAGCACGCACACACACACACGCACACACATGTGCACACAAACATATATATATATATACTTAGACCTATTTACACTGAAATATAAATACATATATACATATACAAATACAAATACAAATACAAACACACACACACAAATATATATAATACATGCATACATACATAAATACAAGGACACAACAATATTGTGTAGATGATGATAGGGGGGTTTTTTTTTTGAAAATGTAGATGAACAGTCGGGGCATTTAAGAGTCCGGCGAAGGATACAGACTCACATATTCATATATACGAACATCCCCAAAATATTGACCAATTAACTTCTGAACGCAACCTCCCTCCATCAACAGTCACTGCGATCCCATACCTGTCAGATCATGCTCCTCTCCGTAGTTTGTGTCTGAATGCTCACGGGTTGACCTCCTTCTGACCAGTGGTTGTCCCCCACTGCGTTTGCGGTCAGTACTATTACGGCTCCCACCGCTTCGTCCCTGTGACTTAGTCTGACTGTTCCTTCGGGATGCGTGTGTGCTGTGCTGCTTGGGTGTATTCGGGTGTTCATGTACGTCTGTATCTACACCGTGCTTAGTAAAATTGTTGGGTGCATTTCCTGCGAGTGCGTATTCGTTTTCGAGTTCGCTATCGCTGGAGATGGAGACTGGATCGCGCGTTACTGAGCATGCAGCTACTACATCCTGGAAGCGGGAGTACCTGCGAGTAGATTTGGCACCCGGATGAGTAATAAATGTAATTAGAAGTCAATGCGATAAAATCTGCACGGACAACACTTTGCCTTGTGCCGAGCACAGGTATCAAGATTCGTCTTCATTATTAAATAACTGCATACATCATGGATAACTTCCAAATTCGGATATGAGATTGACTAGTCAGTAGACCAAGACTACCAGAGAAAAACGAGTATGTGAGAGTTGGGGTACCATCGACTTGCGGGGTGGTACGTATGAAGGGCCATGGCGTACGGCGCACAACACACGGCAGGCGATGCATGAAACGAGCGATATACAGAACACACGAATGCTAAATCCGAATAGTTTTTGCACTTAGCTCCATTCCTCGGTTGCCAACATAGCGCATGTATAATATATATATATATATTATATATATACACATATACATACATACACACACACACACACACATATATATATATATATATATATAANATAGTTATATACTATATAAATATATATATATATATATATATATATATACATATACATATACATATACATATACACATACACAGACATACAGGCATATACACACAGACCCACACCCACACCCACCCACCCATCCACTCACACACATATATATATACAAAATGTGCGAGCAAGAACAAAAATGAGGATACTAATCGTTTCGTACGAGCACCCTTCGAGGGAGATATAAAAAATACACTCACTGAAGCTTTACGAGATAAAATAATAACAATCTACGTGCATGACCAATATTGCACTCACACCAAGGTAAATAAGGGTCTGGAGGACCATGCTACACCTTTAAAACTGAGACAACTCAAGGCGCACATACCATTTCCACAGGTGCTTAACATCGGTGCTCACTCCCGCGCCCGCGACATCTCCCATAATTGCTCGCACACCCTTTTCTGTCTCGCTGAAAGGTGTACGCACCACAAGAGTCTTTTCGGGCACTTTGTCCTGTTTCTTATTCTGCATTCTATCTCTGGGTAGGGTGGACCGGCGGACATATCCTTCTCCCGAGAGTATGTACGAGAGTTGTAATGCTTCCTGTGTATGGTAAAGTATACATAGCTGCACAAGCGGTCCGCATAAACGAGCCAGGTGTCGCACGCGATCGCTCACGGGAGTCTGTGATTGAAGGTAGCAGCGGGTGAGAATTGATGCGAGAAAACATTACAAAGAACTACAATTCTATATAAGATCGCCCCATAAGGGAGGAAACTCCTGCCATCAAATCATGTGCTATTTGGTTGCACAACAGGTACGAGAAAGAGCATCTGAATGCATAACAATTTTTTATCTAAGCGCGCTTGCAAAGTAGGAAAAAGACACACGCACATGACTGCAACCCCCTCCCCCCGCAATTTGTTTTTAGCCCTGTTGTGTCTGATAGTACCCTAGAAAACCTCTTGATCACATTTGCTGCTCAGACACATGTAGTCATAGCCACATCAACAGTCGGTTAAGCAAAATTATATACACTTATCACACCGAAAGCAATCAAGATATCCCCACCTCGTCAACTAAAGTGGTTTGGGGTGCAATAGGCGCAGGCATAGCAAATCCATCGCCATTCGCTTTTCTCGTGTCGGGCGTGCCGGTCTTTGTACTACCATTCATCGTCAATTGTTCATTTGCATCCTTACTATCCGCATCCGCATCCGCATCCGCATCCGCATCCGCATCCGCATCCGCATCCGCATCCGCATCCGCACCCAGGCTTACCCCCAGTCTCACTGGATCCACTCCCAACGCCTGCGCAAACTCCTCTGCAGAGAGTGCCAGAGAGTCGATCTCCAAGTGATCGTCGGTGTGGTCGTTGGCGGTGTGTGTCTCCACGTGTTGTGGTGATTGTTCGTGCGCATGCAGCTGTTCGTGTTCCTCGTGTGGTGTGCTATTGTCGTCTCGCCACTGTGTGTCACCTGATGAAACATCAGCCGCTGGAAGTAGATAGATGGCAGGTAATCGCACGGTGTTACAATTGGCCATAAATAAACGCGAGTGCATATCTGCGTAAAGACGTGACGCCTTTTATACAGACCTTCATAGAAGAGTAATAGCTTTAACTAGATATATATATACATATGTGTATACACACACACCAATGCAACTATGATTGGACCGATATTTGGTACAAAACAGCTCACCACGAACGTTTAGATTTAAGCATAAGAAGTAATTTCGGCATACAGAGAGCGTAAATCATCACTGAGAGCCATATATATATATATATATATATATATATATATATATATATATATATATATATATATATATATATATATATATATACATATATACATATAATATAATAATATATTTTCTAAAGTGACCCAATATACATGCCACTGTATGTATGACAGATAGAAATTCTAAAAGAACGAAATCGGCGTTAAAGAAAATATATCTTCCTCGTGCTAACTGATTACCGATAAGTGCATTGTATCACATGGTATATCACGATATCTAATAATTGTCCACGATTTGTGACCGGCACACACTCACCCGCACTCCATAGACAAATTTACCTTGGGCGAACCGATAAACTCAACTAACTCACATTGTATATTTATGTCCTAATCAGTGAATGAAAACATTTACCCCGTTCGCGGCCTGACTTCGGCGCAGACTCGGGCTTCGACCCAATGCCCAACACGTGCTTGACGGTCCTGACAGCGTAGTGTAAACGCACAGACACTATATCCTCCATGGCACGCCACACAGCCAAGGGTTCATCTTCGTGGGTGAACGGAAGGTATGTGATGGTCTCCCCGAGATACATCAGGTACTGCATGGTGTTGTGCTCGATGGTGTGTTCGGTGGTATCAAGTATTCGCGGCTTGGTCTTGGTCTGGGGTTGGCTGAGGATTGAAAAGTTGTTTATTAACGGGCACGCAAGAACGAATCTAAAAGTATGCAAACGATACTGTTGCCTTTAATGGAAAGGTACATGATGCGCTCATCGAGGTACACCAGATAATGCATAGTGTTGTGTTAGATAGCGTGCTCGAGGACACCTGGTTATCGCGTCTTGGTCTTTCTCGGTGAGTGGCTGAGCTATAGAAGCCAGTAATTGAAATGGGCACAAAATCACGGCAACTATACGTGTTATATATATGAGCGGGCATTCTATGGTTAAAGTCAGATCTGGAACGGATTTGTTTGAGGAACATTGAAAGTAGAGACTAAATCGAAAGGAAAGGTCGATGATACAACAAAAGATGGTCTCGATCTAGATGGTATCTGGTGTCCTAGGATGAACGGCCCCAAGCTGAAGCCCATATTGTGTGCGAGTTATTGCAAAATAGGCCGCTAGTACTCCATACTAACGACTTACGCGGCTAGGGTACATAAATCGCAAATAAGTATATATACATGCACTCATAAACTCACACGTACGTATCTATACACGCGCTCTCACACTCAATCACGCGTACAAACATGCACAAAGATACCAACACATACGTATACGCTCGCGCATGAAAGTACTTTACACGCACAATAAAAATAAATAATCGACGACAAACCTATTAGTAAGCGAGTAATCTTCAGACAATATCAAGATATTATCGTCAAATACCCTCAGCATTTCGCGGATCATGGCACGTCTGTTGGCAACACCGCTGGCGGTCACCAGAGCGTATGTCCGCGTCATGGTACTGAACTGTTGCTTGCCATCCTTTATATAGCCACGCACATCCTGTAGGTGGATTGTAATGTTTCAATGGCTGTCTTGGTATAACATATGCTAAACTTGCATAAGAAGTGGCATGGTAGGTGATGGGATGAGTACTGTAACACACAATATTAGCTAATATTATACATGCATACCTTAAAGTGAAGCTATGTATTCAGCTGCACGGACAATTGTATTCAAAAGTGCATATTACATCCTGTACAACGGCGGAATACATACATTTGACAGCATTAAAGAGAAGCATTCTAGCCTTACACACGGCTGGGTATATACAAAATTAGCACAAATCCTCCAACTGCCCCTGCGATATGAAGAAAACACGCCTGTATACATTAAGAGGACACTAGTCGATATATGAGCAGCCTTACGTGCGTGTACAAGAACGAGGGCAGGGAAGAGTAGTGAGCAAGCTCATCAACCAAAAGCTCCCACGGCCAGCAATACCTTGGTGTTGTTGAGGGTACACCGCATGCGGTAAGAGTGCCTAACACCATCGGAGATGGATGGGATGACGAATCCCTTATGTTTGTCCATCTGATCTTTGAGCAGTTCCTGTGATTTGCTTTGAATCATCTTCTCGCTGTCCGCTTCTAAAGCTATGATATGCGCTATACACTGCGGAATATGCGATGTGAGGTTTCATTCAGCATGATAGTTTATTGGTCGTTAAGAGAAGTGTAAAAAGAAGAATGCATTCGGAAACCACCTCACACTCCCTCAGAGAATGAACCAGCCCATGTCTGTGACACAGGCTAATGACATGTCATACACCAGACTGACTACCTATACCATACAGAATTAGCACAAGTTCACACAATCACGATACCCTGATCAACATCGCTGGTCTGATTCAAAGCCCCACGCTGCATCTAAATCTAATGAACAGCTAGTGTAAAATATAATCCGTGGTAGCATTAAAACACTACGAACCTTCATTGGATGTACCAGTCCTTGTCTAAGACACAGTCCAACGACGTGCAGTGCCACAAGACGGGTCTTGGGCACGGGCGAGAAGAATGTGTTGAGTACATTCGGTAGCAAGGCCTGTAACGCGCCGGTAAGGGCCCTAGGAGAAGACAGATGGCATATACGTGGGCGTTTAACGGTATACGTAGTGTAGACAGATACGAATGAGAAGTTCATAAATAGAAAATAAAATAAAAGTCATATGATTATGGGTTCGAAAGGTTGATAGGGTAGATGACCTGATTGTATCACAAGAACCGTTTACCGTGCTGAGAGGATTCGAACTACTAATCAAGGCACAGTATCAAGTGCACTTTGAGGCGAGGAATATTATGGCAGCTATATGGAACAGATATTTCAATATATGAAGGATTGTACAAATACATCTCAGGACTAAGCAAGCATACAGATGAACGCTGATTCGGCTAAATAAACATGATTTCGGTCCACACAGACACTCACACTATCATATGTACCATAAAAAGTATCTGATGTAGAATCTTACAAACGTGAAAGCTCGATGGCAGGTGTGTACCTCTCCTATGCGTAGCTGTCTATAATGTTGTGTATTTGTGTGCAATCACTTGAAGTCACATCGATTATATAAACAAAACAGGCAGACAACAGAAGTATATCCACACCCACGTGTTATATTAGCTCTTCTGCACCGTGCTCGAGTTGTGAGTATTCGCGTGTGCGTATGAGTTTAAAACATCACTCTACAATATTTTCCCGTAAACTGCTAGCTTTACACGAAGCTATACATGTCAAAACGGCAATTACAAACATTCGAAGCGATGGAACAACCATGCTAAAAATGCACATACGTCGCGTCGCCGTCCATGTAAGCTCCCATCACATCACCACCCTCCTCGCTAGTTTGGCCTGCAAAGTCAAACGCCCCCCCACCCCAAGATGGTATTAAATAGCTTGTACGGCTTGCGTGTATATGGTGCAAGGACTACTGTCCCACAGATCTCGTTGTAGTGACGTAGGTGCTCACGATATGGTCTGCAATGGATATTTGTGTGCGCACACATACGCTATTCAAGTTGACACACTATGGCGTTTTAGAGGTAGAATGTCATTGGTATTTTACATAAATAAGAGTACAATAGGCACTTGCAATCCTACACACCTCGAAAAACACCACTCGGATTTATTCACAAAGAGATGTAGTTGGACAAAAAAGAGGAAGTATACCAAGATATAAATGAGGATACATACATATAAATATTTACGCACATGTACGAATATACATTCTAGTAAATGCAAGATGAACATACAATTTATGTAGGACACTCAGGTATGTCTACGATGCAATTTGAACACCAAATAGTCACAAAGCTTGTGCTCGGACAAACTCTACTATTGAAAACATTCTAAACTCTTCTACAGAGAAAGAGGGTGCATACGCAGCTCTCAGGAAAAGATTTTAACTTCCGGCAGTATGTATATATGAACAACAGATTATGTATATACAACTAGTACCACACACACACACACACACACACACACATATATATATATAAACATCACGACGACATTAGCAAGCAGTACTATATAAACACATTGTCACGGGCTACACCTAATTGTAGTATCGGGTGTCTACAATGTACCCCCCCCATCTTCTCTGATAACAGCTCTAGATTCTGCATTTGCGTGCGTCCATACCACCCACAATTCGTCGTCACCGGTAACCTTGAGTACAGCTGCTACACATGTACCGTTCTACATTCTCGAACAGCACAAACACCCAACTATATACATTGTTGTCTATATCTAACACGGGGAGGCTTCACTTACCTGTAGCATTTAGCGCATGTAAGCGTTGCTCCTCCTCCTCTAGTACCAGCTTGAGATTCTGCAACACGCGTGCATCCAGATCACCCGCAAGTGTGGTGTCCAGATACTTTGCGTACAGTTGCTCCGTGACCTGTTTGGCCATTAGTGCTGGATAACGCACAAATACGCTGCCTGAGAAAGAAAAGGGAGGAGGTCGTTGGGTGGCGCATTGACTACATTTCGAGACCGGATAATTAGATACACCTCTAGTGCAGAAAATAGTACGATTAGTATTCCAAAGTTTCCGGGCGAAACCGTAGGAGTGTTTAAAGCCGGATATCCCACGCCATAGACTTATTTCTGGAGTTGGTTAGTCCCAGCGAGTACTGTCCTGTAAATTAGTGCCTCAGCATGCCCTTGCAACTCTAATAATATGAAGCTTAGAGTGTCGAGTGTAGTGGTAGGGCATAATTGCACTATCTACATAAACTACAATTTGTTTGCATGCTCGGTGCACCAAACGAAGTCTGACTCAAACAATATGCCCCTGCTCTAGAGTAGCCAAACCAAATACAACTGTATATGCCTTGTCATGTTCCTCATCGTATCTGACAATGGCTGCGAAGCGTATGTAAAACCACAAGCACGAGCTCATACGTACAGAGTTTGCAAGGTGTGCTAAGTACAACCCCTGAAACACACTAGCAAGCGTACCTAAAGCGTTGAGGCTTGTTGCGCGAACTTGAGTTTGGCCAGAGGCGAAGAACATTAGAACGTCGAAGACTGAGTCCTTAGCCTTTCCCTGTATCATGAATAAACTTCGACTTTAGACGAGACTGTTGTTGCACGCGGTTAAAGTTGCCAAGGTTGATCGACAGATACTCAAAAACATGAGTAGGCATATTTCCATTTATGCGACTCACAAGCAGAGAAAGTAAATATGTGCACAGTTTGAAAATACAGAATAGACGATGACAAAGAATGTTTTAACACAATACAGATAAAATATGCACAGAAATAATTCAGTAAGAATCCACATACGTAGTCTTTCTCGCTTGTAAACTAGCTTTTGCAGATGAGTCCATCAGGTTAATACCAACAACATCCGTTCAAGAGTGAGAGTAATCAACCACAAACCCCCCCCCCCTCAAAAGTGATAAAATTGACTAACATGTGCACATCTGCACTTGCAAACAACGTATTCATTACGCTACTCAGGACCCTGTGCTATCAAAGTAAATGTATACCACCTTTCAGTATCATCTATCATCGGTGTAAGATTACACTTCGGCTTATCACAAGATTTGGTAAATGTTCTTATCATATACAAATTCAGACATGACACCGAATAACATGATTCATGACACCGTTTAACATGGTTAATGGCACCGTTTAACATGGTTAATGGCACCGTATAACAATTAATACCAAGCACAAAGCGACGGCACAATTCGCTTACCGGGCACAGGATAGTCGGTGCGACAGGCTCGGCCTGTGACATATATTGTTCAACTGCGTAAAGTTATAGAGAATAAGCCGAGAATAATTGGTATCAATGATTATTTATATACTGACCTATTTCAATATTGAAACCGAGTTCATAGTTGCACAAATGCAGTTTCCAGTTCAAGAATTATTACAGTTGCAAATTCGGCACGGTTCCAAAATCTATAAATGCGGTACAAACTGGCGCATCTAGCAGACCATCGTATTCGACAGGCAGAAACCATCGTTTTATAAACTCGAATAGTTACTTGAGATTGCCTCGCAACTATTAGATATACTACATACAATAAAATAGAACACAACAGGGCAGTATTGCATACAATCATACAAGCAAATCCACATTCACACACACATACTTAACGTTTGGCTGCAGCACTGATTCCCGTAAGTCAGTTCTAATTTGCAGTACATAATCTATACACTCAGGTGAGCAAAGCCTTCCCTCATACAAAAGACGGCCAAACATACTGATTTCAGGTCCATCAAAATCGAAGAACCGAACCAGCATGCCAAGGATAAACATGGCTCTGTTCAAAGTAGATACCGCCCGCGGATCTATTTTTTTGGTCTTTTCGCACATAATTTGTTGTTTCTTCACGAAGGCTGTGTTTGAGATTGAGCGCAATGTCGAGTTGTGTTATAGAGAGAAGCTGTGTGTACAATGCTTTTATTTTGGTCAATACACCAGTTTTATTCTAACGATTTGTGCCGTTTTCCTAACTTAAATACACTTTTTTGCCTGAAAGATCCAACACAGCACTTACAGCCTCACACCCGCACTACAACGTACATCATAGCAATTGCGCGTCACAAGGTACATTAGTTTGCACGTTAAGGCAATAATAACAAATTTTAATGAAGTAGATTACATTGGAGCCGTAATCTCTGCGATATATTGCGAGTAATAAAGGGTCACAAAATATAGGAATCATTGCTGCAAGTTAAGGAACGCAGTTTCGTTGATTTGCAGCGAGTACAACTCTTAAGGTCACTATAGATTTTGACATCGTATAGTTTCCAGTGTACTACCTAACACTCGGATATTTCAAGAAGTACACAGTGCTAGACACAAGAGAAGAAGCCTGAAACACAGAGTCACAGGATTGAATCCGTAATGCTTACTTGTGAACTATGAAATAACCAAGTACAGTTCATAATTTGCCACAATACGATGAAGTATACCGTAGAATTTGCGGACAGTATCTACCAAGCTCGTGTAGTTCTTCGTCACCAAAGCGGTCACAGTACATAGACATTTGGAGGCACTTGTCAAAATCTGTATGTGATAGTGTAAATCATTAAGTATTATGGCAAAGGTTCTTGTGGAAGTTTTGCGGTGGCAGTTAGATATATAACGCACATAGACATAAACATATACGAATTTGCATGCGTTCCCAGTCGTACTTGTGCACATTAGAAATCAGATTCATATATACATAAAATGGATATCTCTGCTGCGTATATATATATATATAAACATATATATATATATATATACAGACAATATATATATATATTTACAGACATGAACATAAACATAAACATATACATGCACACACACACGCATATATATATACATATATATATATATATATATATATATATATATATATATAGTAACGGAAGATGATGAGTATTTGTGTGAACGCATTAGCGTAGTTACTATACTAAAAATTAGAATAAGTCACGGTTGGCTAAAAGATAACAGTCAGTCAATGTACATTTAAGTAAATTTATAAGGTCTTCCAGAATTTGGACTGAGGGCTTAATAATTGTTTCCCTCACACTGCCGAGACGAAATATTGTGAACGTCACAGAGGTACATGCAGCCTATTTTCTACAAATAGCCATCAGTTTTATACATCGGTACCGACAATCAAAATATTGTGGTTCACAATTCGAAGAAGCAATCTTCTACTTGCAGTCACAACTGACAATTTTTCTTGTGTTCTACGGTAGCGAGTTTGCCAGTGCAAAGGAAACGTGTGCGTGTCCGCGACAGTGCATAACAGGCGAGTGTTTGTTCTCTTAACAGACCGGCGGTGTCTCGTATACGTGACCACGGTGTATATGTGCATCTAATAGCCCAATGTACATGTGATTGTGCATATTCACGTTGAGCATAGCGAGTATATGTACATGCAAGTACTTATGAGCAATGCCTGCGTGTGCGTGTCCGTAAACGTATGAAATGAACATTTGTCAACGTGTGCTTACTAGCTGGGTGTGGGCCATCCATGGCTTGTTGATGAGCAATTCTCTCAGTTTGGCCTCGTCGGATGCCACAAGCTTTGAGTCGGGAGAGTCTAGCACATTGTAGCCCATTTCCAACAGCAGGCACACGTTGTGTATTACCAGAACCCGCTCTGTTCCCACACACACACACCGGAAGAATATAAATTAGAATAGGCAAAAATGTATAGAATATCACATGATACAGATGAAATTTGATATCCATTTTTTACCCATTTTCAGCGGCAAGCACACTTTGTGTAACACCAACACTGGCTCTGTTCACACCACTCGCGTACCCGAGAAATTAGTTCAGTTTAGACGAGAATTGACAAAAACATTAAATGATGGTAGAAATAAGGATGAAACCCAACATGTGTTCGCAGCCCATCTACAGCAGCTAACAAACATTGTGCATCCTAAGCACTCACATTATGCACAACTTCCATAGAAGTCAGGAATGAACTATGTACCGGCATTTGTGAGTAGTACAGATCCTCATTCGCAAATACTACAAGAATCTCATAATTTGCCAACTAAGCCAAGATGCTTTAACATAGCTATCGACTAGTGACGGCACCAAAATATAAGTAAATTTGGATACTATTGTAGACTATCATGTTACAAAACTTAAATGGAGCTCGTAACAAGCGCCTAAACGCAAAATTATGCATACAGAGCTATTCTACTTATGGACCACGTGGATTTAGGAGGAAATATACCCGCGAGCATAAGTGGGCCAAGGACAACGGCGCTTGAACTCCAATTCCTTGAAAATTCAAAACACGGTTCTGAATCTTAATACAGGCGAGACATATCGAATCCACGAATACACACCGTATGCACACACCTGGTATCTCGTCCAAGTACACACTCAGTACTGGCATGTGGGGAACGATGATGGAGGGAATGGCCTGGGTGAACAGCAGCATGGTCAGCAGCGTATCCAATAGATCGTCGTTCTGAGTGGAATAGGGTAGGATAAACGAAGTTTAGGCAAAACAGGAGGGCCACAATACGGCGACTTGGACTGTCCTTCTCAACATAGCAATAATTCTTGTACAACGGTACAACAACGCAAATTTGGCTTTCTGTTTATTTCAGGCGCTCAGCAATCCGAATGTCTGATATATATATATATATACTTATACACATATATATATTGGCACTCCACACCATGTATACTATTCTGACAATCAGTAAGTGCTGCGGCACCTAATGCATTTGCTTTACATGCTCGAGTATATAGGTCTAGTAAACAAATACACACGAAAGCGTGCACACATGCACATACGTACATAGGCACATCCGTTAACCCAACCCTGAACATACAATTTTTATATATATTTGCTCCTTCAGACAGTAAAGTATATCAGGCTCGCCAGGCACCATACTTGCACACACAACCAACAACGTACTACTATACGGAGACACACAACCAGTAACTACCAATGAAATCTGAACTTGAAACAAACCAATGAGATATTTATATCGGCCGTTGATGACGTTATCTTTGCCTCCATCTCCAGAATGCGCTCCTTCAGACGGCGCATTTGGGTCAAAGAAACACCAATACATCATCCATGATTGGGGAATATCTACGTATAACGCCCAAACTAGACCACACTACCTATAAAATATGAAAAACATACGAGCTTGAACATACCAGTAACTTCTTCGTATCGGGCGCTGCTGACGCTATCTTTGCCTCCACCTCCAACACGCGCTCCTTTAAACAGTGTATCAGGGCTTGATAGAGATGCAGAATGTCATCATCGGTGTCATTGTCAGCCGCGTTCTTGACTAGGTCGTACATCCACTCGGAGGAACTGTTGTTCACACGTATTGATCTGACCACCCCTTTGATCAAGCTGTTACGATAATGGTGCGGAACTGGTGTGAGAAGGTGTTATAGTTTGCAATCCCAAATAGTCCTGTGCTATGTAGAATATGTCGATAGGTATATATGTGTGCACAACTCCCAGCGGACAACGTGGTGCCAAAATACGGATATCATACACATGAACATGTGTGCTGATATCTAGATGTTTTGTAGTATATCGGCTCTTATGGTGGAATAGATTTGTATAGATAACGAAGTAACTTCGTAAATGTAAAACAACCTCACGAACCCACTTTCTTTTCATTTGGGTACATTTGTATTGTTTTCTGGACTGAGTTGTTTATGCTAGATGCACGTGTTCTCATAGATTCTGAATATCGGCGAAGATACTGATTGTCGCATACATATATATGCTTGTAGAATATGCTTGCATGTCTGCAAAATTCGATGCACATTTGAACTTCCTCATTTAAGTATATATATATACACAGATATTGATTCCGTGATGGAAAACCGTAGAAATACATACATACACACACGGGAGCAACAATACCACATTTGATAGCAAATATGGTCACGAATATGCATTGTATGCAATTCATACTTATATTACCACCACTTCACACAAATGCAAGCTTCCAAAACAATACATTCCCCTATATCCCCATACCTCACGCGGCGTTCTCGCTCTACTTCGAAGGCACTGGAACCCTCCTTAGCCTTTGGCAGTGGTGAAAACCATATCTTCTCAAATGTCCTCTGAACCAGTTGTCGAATGTTGTCAGATTCGTCACTCACTCGGCGCAGCATAGACGTGCAGATAGCCGGGATCTCTGGGTTATTCGGCTGAGCCTCACAAACCTACAGATATTGTGCACACAAGGCTCATTCAACAAACCTGAACAGCCATTTCTGGCTAGAAGGTGATGCACGAGTCAGAACTACCACCTTCACTTCTTTGATACAAAGTGAGCCATATGTATAAGGAGTGTCATACCACTTCAATGTCATATAATTTACCTACCTCGCTCAGAATTTTGATGACAGTTTTGCGCACACTTTTACCGGTGTCCTCTAGTCGTGTGATGACCTCAGGATAGTATCTGTTGGTGTATTCTGATGAACGGGGACAAAATAATGTCCTTTAGCGGGTTGAAGTAGAGGGAGTAATTTTTAATAAGAAAGCACAAAAAGATCTGTGAGGAATCATGTAATACCAAAGAGCTGAGACGCAGATACAATGCTGTGCTATGATACAGCTGTATGGATATATATGCAAACACTCGCACACTCAGATGTCGATTCCTCTCCTGAACTGCTCCGTTCCACATATCCAGGTACATGAGACAAACGATACCTAATGTGGATCAGTATACATATACCACACACCAGCCGTGTAGTACAGCATACCGTACCTGGGTTGGATATCATAAAACGCCCGACCAGTTCTACAGCGGCTTCTCTTACGGAGGGCTGTTTGTCGCGTAATCTGCCCATCACAGTGTCAGCAACAGCCTTGGTCTCCAATAGCTCGGGATCCGCCGTGATAATGCCTGGAGATGAGTTTAGTTTGTGCAGTATACGATACGTACGAATGAGGATACGGTATGATATAGTGAGAATTTTTCGAAGTAGAAGTATACATTTCGTCAATATATACCCATCGTATCTACCGGCAGCCCATTTCGTACATACAAGCAGTAAATTGGGTACGTGCGCACTGTGTTACATATGCTAATTCATACAAACACAAATGCTCTTGCATAAAAGTGCCGCGTACAAAATGAGATGGCAGAACGGCATACAACTATATATATAAGTTTAGCATGCGATACAGGTTTAGAATAAAAGCGCAAGCCACATGCAGCGTGGTGTTGTTCATTTTAGACTTCGACGATTCCAAAAAAAAAGGGAGAAATTCGTGATGTTTTGTTGATACACAGTTCTATATACGACATAAGATTTTGTGCATATACATGTTTGGTGTGACATCTGTAATTGTATGCTATATCGTATGCGTGATTTTATATGGAATATTTGATTGTGTGGTGGAAACTGTGAGATGTGCTGCATTGTAGAAATTTATTGCATAGTACATGATGGTATTTTGACAAGTCCACAATAAATATGTATAAACAAATTCATAGACCTGCATATATTTCTTTAGAAGAGTACGGGCACAATATAAGTACTTGTACAGACTGCACCATAGTACACAAAACTATGAGATGAGCACGGAAAATGAAGAAAAGAAAACATAGACGAGTGAATACACAGCATGCCACAACAAGTGTGTGTGAGAGTAGCACAGTCTGTTTATCAACTGTCACCATCAAAATTTATGCTAAGCACACTACTGGTATACCCATGGGTTCACCTGCAAAGATACAAAGAATACCAGGACATATCATTGGTAGTGACAAAGGTACACAAATTAGGCGATATATATGTATATATTGTCACTAGTAATATACACGTACATACATACATACATATATGCGAATGTCTAGATAAAAAAATGAGCACTTGTTTTTGTGTAAGATCCATATACGTTAATAATTCAGATCCATTAACCTCCTTACATACCATTCAACTGCTTCATAGCCTTGGAGCGCATTATAATGGTGCTTCCCAGGCACTCGTTCAGCACTCTACGTATAATCAATTCAGTATAACGGTACAGGGACAAACTCGACACATCCGACAGACATCGCACCGCCCTCAACGCCAGATATCGATTGAGGGGACTCTCGTTCGTTGTTATTTCGTCTGGAGCGCTGTAATGTATAGTATTAGTATATCAGTGTATGATAATATATATATATATATATATATCGAATAATACGTTTGCGGTGAAAAGGTATGCTCCTGGTGAGTAAATAATGCCACTGACGAGTACATTTGCGCAAACTTACTAAACCCGCGATCGAATCCACCCAAAATAGAGCCTTAGGGACGATAAAACAGATTTTGAAATATTGTCCAGTCGAATTCTTTGCTATGAGTGCGTATGTAGCTTAGTAAAATGGATTTCACATTCATGACTGCACGTGTGTATGAGTGTGTGGGCCTGCCACCATGTCATTCTGTTGCATCTGCATGTGCTGTTTATACTGCACCACAAATCAATACACTTTTACACATTGTTTTACGCATGTGCTACGCACACACAAAGATGTGCACGTGCGAATGTACACGTGAGACACGAATTGCTTTTGACATCTACTTGTGAATATATAACATTATATAACAATATATATGCTGTTATATAAATACATCTACCTACACTCCCGCATACACAATACACACACATCGAGATATCTTGCTTTCCAAACATAAGTGGACATATATAAATACGATCCCATGTCTTTGACTAACCTCTTTGTGGACCAAACAGTACATAGTTCATTGCGACGCTTGACAGATTCAGTAAGGAATTCCATTTCGGCCCGGGTGAACTTCTCCAGGAGAGCGGAATCCTGTGAGAATGATGGTCAAGATGGGTAATCAATTCCTTGAGAAGATTTGGTTTGCAAGCGGCTGTCAAAATGTGTTATTTTATTAGTTGACTACGCAGCAAACTGTCATTGTATGATCTTATCCATCAACGGTGGCTAATACACAGTAGCTAAAAAAATGAGTTGCAAAAACACTTCAGGTGCTACAAGGTTTTACTCCGGATAGTCGACTCTGATCCCTACTGTCGATAGAAATATAAAACTACAAATCTGAACATATCGTAGACGCCTCTAACTATTTTTATTTTGCTCTAACGAAGAAATCCAACTTACCTCGCATCCTTAAAGCGCAGCCGACAAAAATTGAATCGCTCGACATATACAGGCATAGCAACACAAAAAGGCATCTATATGTATCTAATACAACCTATACATATCCCTATAAAAACATGTACGTGTGTGTGAATTTCACATTGTACATGTTCGCCACCGCTCGTATCTGATAGGCCAGAAACCCAACGAAATGGAATCTCATGCTAAGAGCCAGATAAAGTGTACATATTCGCCTCACTTGACTACGTATATCCTAGCTACGACTGAACAGGCACATCGGATATTTTCACTAACCGTTGTATGTATCGTGCGCATGGTTATGAAAACAAACACACATACATCTACTGCTTCCCACCCTCTCCGCTTACCTTCTTCACCGCAACTACCCACTGTGCGTGGTAGAAATTGCGTGCGTTGCGCGAATTCTGGTCCACCACCGTTGCATCGGTGTGTGTTCCCTTCAGATACACAGAGAGATACGTTTGCAGCTGAAAGCTTTCCTTTGATCGTATGTCATTGGTGGCGTGGTCTGTGGCATTCTGATGATCTGTGCACACTTTGCACAGCCACTCCCCTCTGTCGGGTATCGGGGCGTAAGGTTTCAGGGTTTATGGTATTGCTTTAGGGTCAAGGTTTAGGTGGTCTGAAGGTTCCAGGGATTCTATAGCCCGAAGACGGATGCAGAGGTGAGAAATTTGTGAGCGCATAGAACAGAGGTTATGTTTGTACGTACAAGAATATGTATTCGTATGTGGAAGTATGCAAGGTGTTCACATGCGAGTTTTTAGCTTGGCAACTAGCATTTGCTATTTGAAATGTGTGTGTATATATACATGCATTGGCCAAATATGGGTGTGCAGATTTAATTGCATACAAAGGGTAATTGTACATGCGTGGATTCTTTATTCAAATAATGATCGGTGCTTGTGTGCGTTTGATGCTCATTGTAAGTGCACAAAGCGGGAATGCAACCTGATGGGCAACAGGTACAAGAACAAGTATCAAGAGAAACAGGCTCAAATGAAAGCACCGTCCGAATGTCGCAACGAGAAGTATATGCCACTTATCCATCTACTCGGAAACCAACGCACACCGCCAAACGACTATGTTTCATACGCACACGAAGATGGCACTTTTCACTCTCTCACATAGCCCACAGATCCCTATACTTGCTAATGGGTATAAAATAGCATGCATGTCATAGTACCTACAAACGGGTATGTCATGGTTTACAGATCATATTACTTACGAATGGATAAATAAATAACAGCAAGTATGCCGTAATATATACAAATTCGCATATAGAAATTTCCAGATCAGCAATATAGTAATATGCACGACTTAATACTTACGAGTAGGTTGGGGGAACGCCTACGCACGAGCCGTGGTACCATTTGCGGCAGCCGCCGTCACATTCCAACATAAATTCACCTGAGTATCCCTTACCGCACACACAGTGCGCTAACTCGTCTTCCGTAGACTCTGAAGTGGCCTATATATGGGCGCATGTAAAAGGATCAATCGATGGAACTTTGCGGGTTCGCAGTACGTGTGCATTCAAATTATGTACTCGTATTTACATGCATGAACATAACGTGAATATAAAATTTTGTGTGTTCGCAACGCAAAGAGTATATAACTATACATATATATATATATATATATATATATACGTATTTACCCGTATATGTGTAAGTTTGACGTATCATATGAAAAAGGGGAGCAGACCAATACATCTGTGCATTCAAGTAAAACATACGAGTGCTTAATAAGTAGTGCACATGGAAGCAATGTGTTCTACCTGTCGTTCACGGATAATCTCCATAAGCGCCGCCACTGAGACCCCATCTGTCTGTGCTTTGAGTTGCTTAGCAATGGTTCCGATGCAGTCCAACGCAAACCCTCGCGCCATGGCGTCGACTTTAGTACCCGATAACGTATCGAACTGGAAAAACCAGGACAGTGATCGTTGTTAGAGCCAAAAAAAAAAGCAAATCCAATGTGAGCTCATCTTAGTATCCTACAGAGTCTTCTTACCTTCCCCCTTTTACGTCATGTTTCCCACTTTGTTTCTCACTTTGATTCAGTGATATACCCACTGTGCACTAGTCCACTCTGCAACGCACATGGTGTCTACAAGCATTGGGCAAATAATCTACACCCTGATATATACATAAACGTGTGCAAATTAGGCATAGCTGCCGGAATTCCATCCCGCATGTTGCAGTTCATAACTAATTGCAGACTACAGCATGCAACTAGACACCAGAGTCGCCTGTCTGGATGCCATCGCAGAGTATATTGTACAATGAATGTTGTCGAAGCTTTGGTCGTAATCACCCATGTTCACATCCAGACACAATCTCGGCCCTGAATCTGCGCACCCATACAGACTTCTATGCACACATACCGTGTTACGCTTATGCTCTCATCCAACCTGTGTTCACAGACCCCTATTATGCACGCATAACTCAGTTCGCTCGACATGCCAATACATCCATTGAGTTCATATAAACGTGCATACCATGATCAGCACCATACGAGAAAGTAGCATATCAGCTGCAGGCCATTCGGGGATGTTGAGCAGGCTTAATAGGTCTTCCAGAAAGTTCATGAAGATTTCCTTGATAGAAACTTCGCCTTCTTGCTTAGTGCTTGCTCTGAATGTGACAGGAAGGGTGTTTGGTTGCGTGTGTGCGCGTGATAGTCTGTACTTTGCGGTTTACACTGTTTTGGTGATATAGAGTTGTAAACGTGCGAACAAAGAGCACACCGTAGTTGTACAAAGAAAAATGATGGATGCGATGGGCGCAAACATGACGCTCTCCCTGTCTATAACAGTTATACAGAGGGACGACTGCATGCCTGGCTCAGCAGTAAAGTGTGCATTGACACGAGGAGCATTGACACACTAGCATAGACACCTACACTCGAACGGCCTTGAATAGATTGGCGCAATAGTAAGTGAGAAGTAATTGACACTAGCGGATGGACACCCATGTACCTACTTGCACAGATGCAAGTGGAAGTACCTGTCACACAAGAGTTACACCTACTTTCGGAAGAACTTGGACAGAAAGTCACTTGCGGTGGCGACTGCTGATTCATAAGCGCGGATAGCGTTAGCTTCTGTGATTTGCCCGTTAGAAGTTTTCACCTGCTGCACAAAAGGAGCACCATACTGCTTTAAAAGAAAGCCTATGTATTGCACGATGTTGATCTGAAAGCACATAGGTGCAGAATAGTCTACAATGAAAGATACAGAAGGTATATGAACATAATCAATAGATGTAGATACAGTGTAGTACGACGATACGGATTTATATAATTAACACACGGGGGTACCGTACGTTGTGTTTAATTTGGCACTGAAATATCGGGAAAAATGACGATAAAGGAGATAGCAAAAAGTGAATCACACGATAACGACGCAAGTCTGATGGATTGGTATAAATGATAGAACAGGATACGGTATCGTCACCCACAGACTGCAAATGTATATGTAACACACACACGAATTGTAGGATAGATCACATAAATAGACTCCCACATTTTCAAATTAAAAAAAAACCGACTTGAGTAAAACAGAACCAACACGGAAAGTGAATACGTACCAACACAGCACGAAAGAACATACAAAAGCATGATGCATGGTAGAATTCCCACACACACAATCAGTTGAACTCACCTGCTCGTCAGACTCTTTGACCACAGCGGTTTCCGACTGATCTGCGGTAAAACTCTGGATCACGCGCACCACTAGCGCCGTCATAAACATGGAAGTGTGCTGTGTTCCTCCTTTGGCTTCATAACTAGAGATGTACGTGTGATACAAAAAAGGTTGTAGAGTATTCTGAGAATCGAGTTGTGGGAGAGAGGTTGGTTGGTTGATTTGATTAGGGTGAGGCTAGTGAACATGGTCGTGTGCTGTGCCACTCCAAATTCGACTTATTCGGGAGGAAATTGAGTTCGCTATTCGTTTACGGAATCTGGGTGGAGGTACTGAACATGGCTTTGTGGCACGTCCTTTCAACTAATTTCGTAATTGAAGAAAATTCAATTCAATATAGGGCAAAAAGAAATTTGCTATGAGGTTTGTATGAGATTAGACAGGGTTGTGTAGCTGCCCTTCGATCAGGTTCATAGCTGGACAGGACAGGTACTTTGTAGTCAGTTTCTTTTTGATGAGACCTGGCCTCAGGTTTGCATTAAATACGAACTTGGGCTTTGAGCATAGTGTCGGGCTCTATCCTTTCTACTAGTTTCATACCTAATATTGTAATTTTTGATATAAAATTTTAACTCTGTTTCAATTTAAAAACGGAGTGACAACATACTTATTTTGAGCTGAGATTCAATAAAAGTAAGTCAAATTCGCGTGTGCATTTGCTGAAAATTGATTTGCGTTTGCTTGCGGTCAGTTAAGCACAGCTAAATGACAAGAAGACTGCCAGAGTATAGTTTTTGACCCGAAATTGTTATACGCAATCAATAATTCTCTATTTAGTCACTCTGCGATGGATGGTATGAGAAATACTTAATCTCCCGAATCATGTCATGCCCATTCTATGGCGTAATAAACTTTCTGGACATTCACGGTGTAGCTCTCAGTGTAAATCAACCATGGAATCGTCCAAACTTCTTGTTGTCAAATATGGCACACATAGTGATTACGGAAAGAGCATGGTCTTGGCGCAGAGCAAGCAGTGTTCATGTACTGCGAGAGCAGACTCTGAATGAAATATTTGACGAGAAATGGGACTTTGCAAGTCACATATCGGCTTTATGCAATGGTGTTTGCCTAGTTTTGTAGATAATTCGTGTATAGTTTGCGACACCAGCTGATGTACATCGTGTCTCTTTCCATTCATGAATCAGCGTGGGAAGGCTCAGTGCTTGTGTACCACTGGCTCTATAGAGATGTCTTTACATAGATGTCTTTACATAGATAACTTGAACTTATATGCACACAAACACACACACACACACACATATATAAATCTATATCTGTATACATACGCATCAGTACATAGGCTGAACTTGCATACCGGAATGTGCGCAGGTTCTTCTTGGCCGTGGTGAGTTTATTCAGGAACATCAGAATGTCGTACATAACGTTCTCTCGGTGGCGATGATAACGCCTTGTCACCTACAGGTCAGTACAAAAAACAATACGAGTATCAGCAATCCAGAGCACTTTGGGGTCGCTTAATTGAAGCTAATACACCGTGTATGCCAGAATGTAGTACAATGCATATGTCCCGGTGTATCAAGCCGTTGGAAGATACACCTTACACGTGTATATACGTTTGTGTGGTTATACTGAAAACAAGAGCATATGACCGAGATACCCTGAAGCTCGAGAGGTCGGTATGTAGATAAAAGTGTACCAATCTGCTGAATTATGTGGCATACATTCTAAACGTATGTATTGCACCTAAATACAAATAAGAGCTTACGACATACCGTACAAACCAAGTGCAGACTGATGCCCTGCAGCTCGGCGAGGTCGATGGTCCTGACGCACAAGTCATCGGGCGCGTACGTGAAACTGTTTAACGCCAAGGTGGTAATCTGCGGGCAGAGAGAGAAGGATCTGTATGTATGCACTTTCGGATTGAAGTAGGGGATCGCATCTCAAGGACAGCGTAGTTGAGCTCCGATGTATCAGATAGCACACTAATGTGCCTTTCCATTAGTGATGTATTGGGGTCCAAATTATGATTAATAACTATTTTTGAGAGATAGCGGTGTGGTATACTCCAAAGTATCATTGTATTAACATGTCAAACCCAACAGCGTTGAATAGTAATTAAAAAAAAGCTACGGAGGTGGATATATAAGAGAAACAAGCAGAGAGACTTCGCACAATATTGAGTAGATGATAGTCAAGAAAGACTTGCAGCATCGTTTGTCACGGTGTCCTTCAACAACGAATATATCAAAAATATTGTCATTAACATGTCCAATTATAACATACACACAACTTTGAATTGTACATACACACAACTTTGAATTGGCCATTCTAATTAATTCAAAATATGAGATGATATAGGCGTGCCAATAATACTCACCTCTAGAAGGAACTCGTCGGTGCAGTTCTGAAGAGACAGGAGATTGCAGAACCGCTCCATCACAACACATAACCGCGTGTACAGCGTGCTGCATGGGTTAAAAATACCAACGAGGTATACCAACCAATCAGAAGCGTATTTCAGATACTTTAAAATTATATTGGGAAAATATATAATAAACATTCCGAAGGACTATTCCAACCAATCAGAAGAACAATTCCAAACAATTCCAAATCTGTTGGCTGACAAGATAAACGACAATATTCACAAATTGAAGTGCAGCAAGCATTGCGTGATTTAAATTTGGGTCAATTGCACATTGGTCCTTGACACAAGCCCCGCGAAAAATAACGAGCATCGACTAAATCTTAGTATGAGAATGACTTAAACGATGAAAGAATTTGTGTGCACGTGATTGATTATTCTGCGAGAAACAGGCTAATCTCGACAAGGTCAGAAGATTGTCTGATCATAATCGCTTGCCCATTATATCGGAGATGGTGGAAACGATTGTTCGAACAATAGGTGAGGCGCCGTTACCTATTTTCGTGACCCTGCAAGCACACACACACACACACACATATATATATATATATACATATACATATATGCATATACATACATACATACAAATATACATACATGCATATATATATATATATATATATATATACATATATAATTCTACATGTGTCTAAACATACATACGTGCTGATATATGGCACAAAACAACCAGAATAATTCAAGCGGCGAAGACAAGATGCACGTGCGTTATCTTGAGATTTATGTTCGCGGGTCGAGAGCAACAGATAGACATAAGAACTTACGATATTTGCCGCTGCGCATGAGCACTGATTTTTGGGGCGGAGTTGGCATTCGATTTCTTTTTCGACTGTTTCGGCTCTGGTTATGGTGAAATTCCGTGTTGTGGTACGCGATACAAACGCGACAGTTGGAAATACGTTGTAAAATTTGTACGTAGATCAGAATATATCGACAAAATTGGTTCGGGGCAAATGCGACAGAATTGCACTTATGGTGTAGTTGGAATTAGAGCTTCCGCGCCGTGGTACATCTCGCATCATTGTCTGCGAATCTAGTATTGATCTAGCATTGGTCTAGCATTGAGTGTTTACGAGCATCGTTCATTGGGTTGGGAAGCTCAAACTCTTTTATTATTATCCAGCTGCCGTATACAAGTAAACATATGCGTATACATACATCTGTACGCTCATATATATACAAACAGTAGATAAGCAATCACATATACAAACATACAACCCCTTCCCTACCGACAGACGCGGGTGCACGTATGAGAATCATATGCACCACTAGCCCACTCCTGCTATTATTACACGCACCTCGCAATTCTTATACAAACACTGCTTTTCATCACTGTGCCCATACTCGCGTTTCATGCTAACGTATACACACCTGACGCGTCCGTATTGTGATGTGGCCGGAACAAAGTCTTGGTAATGTGATGTTTGACAAAGTGCAGAGCGTTGGTTAGGTAGTCTTCAATGTATATCTGTGACCAGGAGTAAAAGGAAACCATTAATAGAATGGCAGATGATACGTTCATCTGTGGTCGAAACTACAGCAACTACAAATGGAACGGCAACGTCGCGCTTATCTGTGGCACATTTCAGAAAACAATTTTGAGTAGATTGACCAACATATGTAAAAAAATAGGTAATAAGCCCATGCCATGCGGCTATTGCAGAAGCGTATTTGAATATCGATAATTTGTTAAATTGGGGAGCGCGCCAACTAACATACCTCGAACAAATTCTTCTCAGTGCTTTTCATATGATCATACGAATTTCTCGACACTATGTCACATAGAACTTCGTATCTTAGTGCGGTAATATTCGACTTTTCAACTTTTGTAAGTTCCAAAAGAAAAGACTACAAATTGCAGATATGCACAATGAGGGGCAAAAGTGGTACAAACAAAACCCATAAATCACAGTCAAATCAATTCATTAGGCCATATACACCATTCAGGGCAGCAGGCATGAGCTTTACAACTTAAACTTAAACTTTTGTTCACTGTGAATTTGTACTTATCAGAAATATTTGGCTCGACAACTACTCAGACGAACAATGTCACATCCTAACACAGATTGAACTTTAAGAGGTCACGTGCAAAAACATTTGCCACAGTCAGATACAAAAATACTTGCCACATAGCCCGAGTGAGACACCCAAACCATGGCTTAGCCATCGTGAATCAGCCATTGCTATAACGCATACCTCAAACCACAACAAAGCCATTGTATACCAGTTACTCAAAGTATGAGGGATATCTCAAACCATTACAAAGTCACTGTAACTGTAGTCATCTTATAATACCGTTGTAAACCAGCCAGTCAATATACGTCATACCTCAATGGGGATGCTGGGTGCGGTCACTAGAGTGAGAATGATATGCGCTGCCTCCAATCCCACCAATACTTCCTCGAAGTTGTGATCGGGAGAATCCTGCATGTGATATATTAGAGAGAATGCATTGTGGTATATGCATGTGGTCACGTAATTGACTTAAGCTATATGTGATTGGTTGGTTGTGTGTGATACCGAAACTCTGTGATATGGACACAGCTGCGCATGTCCAGCTGGGCAAAAGCTAGTGTGATTGTCTGTACTGGATAATACGTCACACAAGAAAGCACAGCACTCTACTTCAAACACTACAGTCACGCTATGTCTTTACATTTTACGTGTCTGAAGTTGCACGTTTTAAGGATAAAGAGGCATAGAATACATTCGCTGTATGTAATTACTACAAAGCCTCTCTATAATGCCATTCTAAATATGCAACGCACGCTTCGTGTCACGCGACTTGAGCTACACGTTGCTGGGGACGAGCAGGCGCGGTCTATCAACTACATATAGATCCCTAAACAACGACACACTAAAAATGACCTACATATACCACAAGAAGTAAGTAATTAACCACAAAAGTCCATCCGGGCTTTAACCACAGACCAGCAGTCGCCAGAAAATGATTGCCTCCACACTCAAATTGTATAAAGCATGTTCAGATAAACTAATGAACTCAAAAGGTTTCATATATCGTTCACAGAAGCCGCTTTTCAATCACATTGTGACACTATGTGACAGCATTTTCAAAACCCCGAGAAGCTATACAGGATTACTGAAACTCGAACAATGACGCTTATTAAATACACGAGCAATGCGGATACGTACAGCTTCCTACTTGTAATGTCTGAACAACAAATCAGATTCGTATGCGACTGCTAAACGTATGTATGTGTCAATCGACTCTCATAGTAACAACCGATACAGACCAAAAAAATTCATCATAATGGGTCTAATCTTGCACTTGATTGGCCCGACTGACATACCGAGTTCAACTTCACTTCACGTTTGGCGGTGATGTGCCGGTCCATGAGGTACACCAACTGTGACAGATCATCCATGGCAATGCGGTGCAGCACCGCCGATTGTAAAGTGAGCTGAAGCCTGAATATAGTACGTACAATTCAACGATTGTCAGGGTTGAATGTTATATATAGACGATTGATTGATTGTAATGTGAATTGTATATACAGAGCTGGTACCAACTGAATAGAACCAGTCACTTCTACCCACGACTGCAAAGTATGCATGGCTTGAACGAAGTATGCATAAATTGAAAATCTTTTGACTTTGGCATGGGCATAGGGCGTACGATGAAACCGCCCACCCGAATGAAGTACGGTAGTAAGCTATGTAAAGCGGTTGGTAGCCTGAAGTGTATGCATAATTTTTTTATCCGTCTACAATGGTGAAAACAAAATCGGATTTCTCGTTGTGATAAAAAGAAAAAAAGAAACGACTATTCCAACACAGATGCGAATTGTATGTATTTGGCTTAGCGGGTTCCCACTGCGACAGATCACACACTCCAATGCGGCGCAGCACCGACGATTGTACAGAAAGTTGCAGACTTTATGAATCTGGTATTTTATTTACCGTATATATATTTTTGCTATATAATAGATAAAAGGCATTTGTGGTTGAAGGTTGGATACCAGTTTACAAAACTCAATGAACCACAAATTATGAGGCTGATGAAATACCTTCATTTGGAATCAAGTTCGGCCGAGTGGTGATAATCGCTAGCCGACATTGCTTATATGCGCAGATCGACAGACACAGCACAGACTGGACTGCAATGAGTCTCTGCCCTCGTTTTATCGCAAGTTCAGTGTCTACAGCAGTATGCCAGCGTAGAGCAAACTGCCAATATATATATGAACGCAAATGTAGCCGCATAGACATATACATATGCTTTCAGTGCATACCTTAACTCAGTCAGGCTCTTTCGAGGTAGGCTTCTGAAGTCAGTCATATCGCCTGTTTCAGCATAGCGCATGGAGTCACTGGAGATAATTGCTTCCACGCGTTTCTTTATGGAGCCGAAGTTTTTGCTCCCAGGTGTTGTGTTATCTGCGAAAAGTGTATAAACTTGATTTATCAACGCCGTAAAAGTAAATGACCTATCAATTGCATACTGCTGCCACCCTAAGAGTGTACAACTCACTGGCATCAGGACAAGCACGGTGCTCCGATAAAACGATCTCGTATTCCCATTCAGTTGCGCCCACTGGACTGACCATCGATTAGAGATCGGCCAGAATAAGATACGTATAAACGAAGAGGCCCACTATCATTTCATACATATGCATCGATAAATATACGTTTAATTATATGCATGTAAGCATACGTACCTCTGACGTGCGTCTTCTCTTGCGGAGGTTTCCGTGGGGTACTCTCACCCGATCTCGTGCCATCGAAGTTTGCATCGCGTTTCTTGGAGGAAGATGTGCGCCTGCTCAGCTTAGCTGATTTAGAGGGCTTCTGCGGCGTTTGATGGGTACCTGTGGTGCGGTTATGATCTATTAGCTCATAACGCAACCAAAGACTAACGAAATCCAATGATAATCTTATCGAATCCATATCTATAAGATGCTATGCCTATACAAGTATGCATGCTTATAGTCCCCGTTTGAAAGAGTTTCTGCGATGACCTGTTCTGTTCCATTGGTAAATACGGCACATAAGCAACCATTTCCTGTATTGCTGACTTCAAGGTTTATCGTAATTCGGCAGTTTATGTAGCAATACGTACATTTAGATGTGTCGTTGCGAAAGAAGTGTTTTGCAAAGAATAGAGTGTTTTGTAAACACTATACTATAGTCCCTTGGGCGGCCTGGAGAAGTATATGATTGCATCTAAATATATGTAAAGAACCATGTATCAAAAGTAATACACATTCGCAAATGCGAGTCTACTGTGTGAATCCAAGAAAATCCCATAGCCACACACACCACCATAGGAAAGTGTAGCAGCGAAGTACAAATACCTGTCCTATGCTTTACTCTATAAGATATAAAGATCAATAGTAGAGTGGGCTTGCAAGAGCATAGGGGCACAACCAGCCAAAGCAAATACATATACGCGCACACATACATACAGGTCTACATACATAAATCCGTAATTATACATTGGAATGAAATACCGCCACGTGTTCGCCATGCCTGTCTCTTGATATACAGCCCCATCCACACACGCAACTGATTCAGCATGCAGAAATCGAGTTTATTTCCCTCGCCTGCATGCCTTCTATACACACACAACGTACTCGACAACCGTAACAAAGCTGTAGAACCGCAATGATAGCAATACCTTTCATGTGTGCCTGATCGCGCTTCAGACCCTTCTGCAGCACCTGTCGCCCCTCCTCCTCCTTGTCCACAGGCTGTACACCTTCACGTGCACCGTGTGCGCTGTGTACCTGTTTGTGGGGTGCATGGTTCTCCACATACGCATTAGCCGGGCGAAACTCTGCGGTCACCTGTTCCAACTCCGGTGGAATGGTTATGGGTACAGGGCTGGGCCCATACCCAGGCGAAACGCCCTGCTGCTCTCTAATAGCACCCAGCATACACGCACTACCCGAGTCTCTGGGATACTTGTGGTGTTTCGCATGGGTGTTGGTATGTTCCAATACCTCACTCCTGACTGCAGGTGCATGCACACCGTGCGAGTGACGATCGTGGGGCTGGGGCGGTCTCTCCTGCTTGACTGTATGTATTACGCGTGGGTTATTGGGATCATGTTTCAACGACATATTGTTTTCCGAGTGCACAGGTGCACTTGCGTGTGTGTTCGTAGTACTGTTACTGTAGTTCTGGGTTTGATGATGCGCGTGAGCGTGTGTCTGATTGTGCGTGCTTGTGTGTGATCCTCTATAACCTGCACTGGAGGGCCTATACCCGCTTTCCCCCGCAGTCGTCTTACCACCGTTATTGTATCTAGAATGAGGTCCTGCGCTAGAACCGTGCTGTTGCTGTTGTTTCTGGGGTTGCACCTGCTGCATATCTCGGTGGCTACCACCTTCTTGCTTCATCTGTGGGTGTTGCCGCTGTTGCTGGTAGTTTTGTCTCTGTGACTGCTGTACATGTACATTCTCATGTGACAAGTGACTAGATTGATCCGTGCTCATCTGATTTGTATGTGTGCTGTTACGCTGCATTCCACGCACTTCCGTATTACGTTCCCTTGCAATCGCGTTCAACACACCCGGACGTTTCTGCATTACAGCCGATATCACTCTCGGTGTTGATGCAGATTTAGCATTCACACCACTGAACGGTACAGCATTAGGCATACGCAATCCATTCGTACGTGCATGCACACTTGCCAGCATGTCACCTACTACTGCAAGGCTATGTGGGGTTACATGTGCATCGTTTCTTAATATGGAGTGTATCGATGTGCTCGGTGCACCCACCCCTGGCCCATCTAAAGGAAGAGGGGCGGGAAAGGGCAGCTGAGACGCTAAGTAGGCTGGTGGTATCATTCCTGGAAAGACCACATAGGGGTGTGCTTCCTCCATCGTTTCGTCCATAATAGCCGATAGTTAATGTATATAACCGTAGATATGTATGATATGGTTCACTTGTGTGTGCGTGCAAGTGTACATGTATACGTATACACAGCTGGTATCCTGATTCAAACACCGATGAATACGATACTATATACTATACTCTGGCATCATCTTTATATAGACAGTATACTAAGTCCTGGTCATCGGTGCTTGCTTGTACTTACGTGTGCATCTCGAGGCTCTTGCGCACTCACAAAACCTTCGTTTAATACAAATAAGCTCAGCGGGCACGTAAGCTCTATCTATACAACACAGTCCTATCTAAGCCATACCCAGCACGCGTTGTGTGAAGTGGACGCCGTCACACGCAAGTCCTTTATATGGGCGGATATTCCTCGCGCACTATTGTTTATTTATTTTACTTTAGTAAAATTACCACAATTTTAGTTCGAGTATTAGTAGAGAACGTACATACATCCCTCGTATCGACTGATCGATCGGACGGATTGTTGTCATCAGTTTTTGTGTTGGTGTCCGTTTGACTTTTTTGAAAAAGCCGATTTTTATACAAAAAACGCAGAGCGTGGGCCATGGGCCAAGGGACGAGCTAAATGGCCAACTTTGCATGATGAAAAACTACACTTGTAGCAATTTACATATTGCACACCTCATACATATTTACATAGCAACAGTAGATGTACTTGCTATCTCTTCCAGGTGTGAAACTGACGTACAGATGCATCTCTTATACATTTGCTGTTCTTAACGAGAGAAGAATTTATGAATAAATGCGAGCGATAGCTCTAATATCCTATGCTCCGTCATGTATTTTGTTATCTAAATTGAACTTTAAACCGAGTATGATGCGACTGTGGCGGGTATCATATACTAGCATATATATGTTCTGTAAGGGTGATTCCAACTAGGTTAGTCATCTAGGGCAGCATAAACAATGTCGTATACGGACTGAAGAGATAAGCACATTTGCCATCTTCAATCTTAAGGCTAACCCCCCCCCCCCCGCCCTCATTCATCCCTACATGGGTAAGGCTCTCAACCGTGCACAATGTTCATCTATTATTTTGAGATAGAGTCCGTAATATGCTTCTGTCAAAGTGAAGCTATATCGTCATGGATCATTCTTGTCAAGAGCGGCACCCACACACTCGACGGTACATTGCTAGATGCAGTCCATGACTATGTGTATCATACTGATACTCGCTTGAACTACCGACACTGGTGCTAAAATCTTGTACTTCGCTCAAGCCGAATAGAATCCACGGTAAAGCACCGTACACTTCATCCCTGGTGAACTGACCTTCAAAAACTACAAAAGGTGCGCTATAAAATCCAAACGAGAGACCTTACTGAGCTCTATAAAAATGTATCCTTCACCCCTAATGAACTGAACTTCAAAATAAACTATGAACATGAGAAGATACTGAGTTTGGACGCCCTTACTGAACTCCGTAAACCACCTTTATTCTTTGATAGGAGATTTGGATGTTAAATCTAAGCGGAGAGAACAAGGGAGAAACCAAGTCTGTGCGCATCAGTGGAAAGGTTCTTGCTGTCCACGTTCATACCAACGGACACCTTAGCGTTGGGGCTGACTACCTGAGTGTAGCCGAACGTCAGCTGACCGGTGTGTGTCAACTTAGCCTGTAGTGAATGAAGGCAATGCAAGTTTGCAAATCAGCAAGTGTTTCGGGTCTTAAACAACTCTGCTACAGCTCATAACAGTTTCCAGCCCATTTTACAAGATGAGCCGGCTTTCGTCCAAGTGTACAAAATCGAAAGTTTGCATATATTCAGTCATTCGTTTAAACGAATGCGATACACATACTTGCAATCTAAAAAGGGGTATATTAACAGTACAAACCATACATAAGTGATCAACATGTCCGATAGATCGTGCAACGTGTAAATATTGGCAGTTTAGACAAGTTCCAAGCGTGGAAAACACACATGCAGAAATTCAAAAAAACAAAGACAGTATCAATTATGTATTGCCTTGCACGCGTTGCATGTATTCAAATGAAAGACGATACATACCTTTAGGAAGGAACCAGCGTCCAAGTTGAAGTGTCCACCAAGAGCGAAGTCGGTCTCGTTGGTGCCCTTCTTCCAACCGAAAGCAACGGCGGCAACGGTTTGTGCAGACACTCGGTGGTGCAGTGAAGAGCTCACCTTCTCTCCATCAGTGCTGGTAAAGGGATATTCAAGTTAAAAATACACTAAGTATGTATCGACATTTAGCATGCAGGTCAGGGATCCCCCCTCGAACATGCGACTTTGTCTTCTACGTCGTCCACGTGGTGTTCAACACTGTGGAGATGTGCAGCGTATAAATCAACACAAGCGTCCAAAAACTGCATATGTGATTTGCCTCTCACAATGACATACCCGAATTGTCTATACATACTTGCAGCAACAGAAACACTGTATTCACTTCCAATTTTCAGATCTACTAATTTCCGCACGCTGTATAGTGTGTATTCTTTAGACACCATTGATACCAGAAGTTGTAGACAACACACAGACACGCTTCACAACGGACCGGTACCAAAAGTCTGTCAGGAAAAGATCAATATGTTCTCTCCTACAGTAAAGTTTAAATTATTAGGTGAAGTGTCGAGGATACATTCCGTGAAACTCAGTTTCATCCGTACCCCGCAACATATCCATATATATGTACACCTGTCACACTCTAAAGTTTGAGTTTCATAGTATTCAAATCTTGACCTGGTATTGCTCTCTGGGTATTGACTATTAGTGGAGTCACAGGTGCGTTTAAAATCCAAAAATATAATAAACAAAGAGGTACAGCAATTAAAGTGGTTTACGAGTAACCCACCCACGTATGAACCCAAACAACAAGTTATAACCAGCATACCTGGTAGTGAACTGGAAATCAGGGGCGATGTAAGAGGCGGCAATGGTCTTTGATGCAACGGCACCATTGGCACCATCGTAAGCAGCCTGTACACCAACGAACACCTGGTTGTGGTTGAACACACTGGTGGCGTTCACGACCTTCTTAAGCAGATTGACGTCAGCGGTGGTACGGATTTGCTTCTGTACATAGTCGACCTTGACAACTGAGGTGATGGCCTCGTTGTTGGTGTTATACGAGGTATCGTTGTCAATCTTAAGACCATCAGCTAGACCTTCAATGGACAGGGTCTGGAGTAGCACACCAGCGGTACTCCACTTCTCGGTTACCTCTAGGTTGTATGGCTTGTATAGGTACTTGGCCTCGCATGTACCATCAACGGTACCGTCTTTCTGGTTCTTGGTGGTGATGGTCTTGAAAGCCTGTGTATAGAAATTTAATCAATATATATATATTTGAAAGCCTGTGTATAGAAATTTAATCAATATATATATATATATATGAATATCGGTGCCTGCTTGATCTCTACTTCCGAGTCCTTACTCCGCTACTTATATTTAGTAGTATGAACAGAATACTACGCTACTGTCCGCTAGGAGCGTACCACTGTTTCTGGAAAATAACTTTGCGAATGCTTTACTAATAGAAGACTAAAATGTATGTACACAAACTAACTACATTCCCAAACATCTCGTGTTCCAAAAAAATGAAGAGGACTCGCCATACGCGCCAATAACCAATAAACCAATGGGTGTCGCAGTCAAACTCGAAGCAACATGCAACACAAATAGGGAACTATACGCGAACAACGGCATAGCCAAGTCACCAGCTTCAAAGCATGATATTAGGTACAAGTCAGCATTACAAGGTGACATACGCCCTGCAAAGCATATTGGTAACGACCACACTGTCAAAACGACACCTTCCTGTCGGAATCGGGTTGCCGAGTGCCGGAGTATCAACTTTCAGATAAATATCCCCCTAAAATATCTAATATTTTAAAACTAGCTCGCACCTACAATGCGTTATACCGTACTCTTAGTCAATCAAACTAAGTTGCTAAATAAATACACACTCTTTAATAATACGTAATAACAGGCAAGAATATAAAACTAACATACCACTCCAGTAGAAGTCTTGGTGGCAACTTCGAACTTGACATCACCAACAACAAAGTCCTTGGAAAGACAGTCCTTGGCTGCCTTGCCTAGATCTGCGTACTTGGGAGGTGCCATTTTTGAGGGGTGTGTGGAGTGATTAAAAGGTAAGTACGTATGTAGCTATGTATCTTTGCTACCCAGTGAACCAAGTATATAAATATACTCCTCTTAATTCTCACAGGAGAGTTCCAAGAAGTCGCAAGTCCCAAACCGGCGGAAAAACGCGAAACTTCGAAAATGTATACACGAACAATTTCGTATGTCTGTATTTGGGTTGTAAACGCCAAAATCGGTCGACAACGAATCATCATGGCGACTTGGGAGTTTTAGGCCGAAAGAAGGCCTTCAAAAATAGGCCTAAGCACGGCCCCATTCCCAATTTTGGTCGTGTAGTTAATGATGTTTTTTAATTTTAAAAGCTTTTTTAAAATAGAGAGCTAGTAGGACATAGAGAAAACACCACGCACCTCTCCAATTGGCCTACAGTGGGCACTGGCATTTCTTTCCATTAGTGTAAATAAATATCGTTAAATATCTACATTTGTCGTAAATATATACGTCTTTTTTCAAAACAAACTTCATGAGACTTGAATGATGGCAATGCATCTCCAAGACTCCACATCTGATCCCGCCACTTGCCAGGCTTCATGATGTTTATTCATTTATTAAAATTTATGTACTGTGTGCATATATAAACATATTATATGTACCTTATCCATCATCAATATCCGTCAATTGTGTGGCGGTAGTGGGTGTGACGCCAGAGCCTAGAGGTTTATCTATTTGTGAATATCAGTATATCCTTATCTGTCCGTATCCATCCTTATCCTTATAGTTTGTGGTGATAGTGGGCGTGTCGGGTTCTGAACTTTATATTTTATATTCTACTGCACAGTGTTTCATCTCAGTTTAAAAGAACTAACGGTTGCAAGTATATATATGTATATTTATATCTATACACTTACATCCATACAAACGTAGATACATACTACATACATACATACACACACATATATGTATAGATATATATATATATATATATATTATAAGAGTCAGCGGCTTACAGATGTGGAGAGAACAAGACGTTGACATGAGACCCTGGAGACATACATTCTCATGGTCGAAGGCGTCGAGTATATATATATATATATATATATACATACAAACAGACACACACATACACACACACACACACACAAACATATATATATATATATACATATTTATAATATTGTCGTTACTGTATTGCTGATTTCAAAATTAGATTTCTATATAATATATTCGGTACGTATTCTGTACTTTCGAAAACCAACTACCAGAAATATAGTCAGTCATATTATTCTATCGTACAACTTGCCCCTATCGTTTACTTTGTCTCGACCTTATATGGCCTGCTTTATTATTTGAATCAGCATCTATGCCATCATATCTGTAACATACCTCATAGTGTTTTATAGCATTAGGGTTTGCATGCTTTCTGACAGAGATCACTTCTTTGGATACTGTAGGTGGTATTTTACACAGGGCATTTTTCTTTCCAGCATAGGAATTCACCTGTTAGTCAGCCTGCAATTCTATGTTTATCCCACAAAAGGTCTATATGCCATACTGCAATACACGAGTTCGGATTAGACTCGTGAGAGGAAGAGTATTACTGACCAGGCGCCGTAATTGTTGAGCATGTTGAAGTTCTGATATAATACTAGTGGAGACTATGAACTCTTGTTAGCTGTAGCTCCTTGCCGGGTCGCCAATTGCATACGGTCGTCACGACTTCTCACATGGTGGGTCGCTACAGAATTTTGTTTTTTAAAATACATAAAGATAATATATTTCTTGGATCCTACTGCAGATCACGTATTTATGTTCTTAACTCACAAACACACCCATAAATACTACGACTTGAGGGTTGAGAGTGGAGAAAGGAGGCATCTTAGGACTCAGGGCCTTGAACATAACACACCGATCGGAGTGCCTTGTTCTGGTTAAAATCATAGCCTTCTGAATTGAACATTAAAACTTCATTTAAAAAAGAACGAAAACCTGAACAATATGATCAATGGCTATAAGCCTATGAGGCGGCTATTATGAACAATATTCGTATATTAAGCCTGTCGCCATTTTGGCGCCAAAATTTGTGTATCAAACAACATCAACATCGACATCATGTGGGAATATTAAACTTCTCCGAATCACTGACGCTTCATTAATTCGCATCACGGCGAATTAAACTGATCGGTAGTTGCTGTTGTTCAGTATTATTCCCTCAGGTATTAGTTAAGCAGGCGGGTTATGACTTTTCGAGGGGTAGCGTATTGTACTATTTACAATATATTGATGCATACAGATACTGTAGTGTAAAATACTCTAACATATTTAGTACACGAGCGAACGTTCCACACACACACCAACTGTATAGACCTGTTTACACCATGGCAAAAAGAGGCAACGCTCGTGCATATCGGAAACGTGCCGCATCTACTTCAGAGGAGGATGAAACTGCTGACCACGTGGACAGGTATTAATACTCTTGCAAGGAAAGGGTACCTTATATCTTGCGTAGAATAAATAACATAATAATGATGAAAGGCTTTTGTTCGCTGCTTCCTTCTGTAGTACGCCAAAATTTTGACAACATTAAAGCCCATATATTGTTGCAGACATGATGAGCATACTGTCAAAGATTAGTAGTTCATACAGTCTATTGAATTTCACCACAAAATGTATTCATATGCATACGTACACACACGTACACACACACACACACGTATACACACACACACAACAACAACACACATACACGTATACACACAAACACACACACACCAACACATACACACACAGACAAACGTACACACATACACACACACACAAACACACAAACACACAAGTACACACACACACACACTCACACACATACACACACACAT